AATAACCTTATGAGGCCGATATGTTTAAGCTGAATGTCTCTATCACGGCTAGGTCCAAGGTCATTAGCTATACACTGAATGCAGTCTTTTGAACATTGAAGCGGAGGAAAATTAATCTCAACAGAGGTGTTCTTTAACAGCTGTTGGTGGAAAAAGTTAAACTGCATGCACTATACTGGACATTGATGGATGACAGGAGCAGAACTTGCTCTGTAGGCCTTATGCCTTATATTCAAAATCTGCTGATTGGAAGTGTCTTGTAGAAAACACACTCACCTTGAATTTGTGTGTGTGTGTGTGTGTGTGTGTGTGTTTGTGTTTATTTAAATGTGGAATAAAATTCGCAAATTACACTTGTCAATTTCTTCCAGTAAAAATCTCTACAAAACTAGCAGCTGTGGCTTGATTTTATTATTAATTTTTTTTTTCTTCCCTTGGGGTCTGGTTTATACTCACACACAGACACACACACACACACACACACACACACACACACACACACACACACACACACACACACACACACACACACACACACACACACACACACACACACACACACCACAAATTCAAACAAATACAGCCAGCTGTTTCCTTCTTGCATGATAATATGCAAGTAGAGATTTTTATTTGTCCTTTATTTCAAGTGTTAAAGAAACTCACAACTCCACTCCTAAATCTTCTACTTTTGTCATATAGAGATCGTTATGCTCTCCGACAGGATAGAAAAGCAAAACCATCATTGCCAATGGTTTCATGCTAATAGACATGTTTAGGCGCTGAAGTGCAGAGAGTGTGAGCAATTGCCGGGGGTGTCTTCACTTTCTTGATGAGCTCACCAGTGTTCCAAGACAGATGGTGTTTGTTACCGAAAGAGAATTGTACTTTCATGGATGTACAATTCGCACTATATCGCTGCACATCCCTCCGGCTCATATCACAGGAAGTGTTTATCCGCGTATTTACTTCTCCTCCTCTGAGATGGATAACCAGCTTTCTCACTGCGTTTGCTTTATGACTTCTCACACCTTTGTCAGGCAGCTTTGCTCAAAAGTAGCACAAACAAAACGACTAGACTGCAGCTAAATACAAGTAGGTGTAGCAAGGTGGGAACATATTGTTTTCACATCTCCCATATTCCATCTTTAACTCCTTTAAGATTGTTTAAAAACTAGAAGCAAACTTCTGCTGTGTGTTTTTAAAATTCAATGGTTTTTTTTTTTCTTCAGTTCTGCACAGAAGGATGGCAAACAGAACGCTTTGCTTGGTCTGTCAGACGGTCAGGCATGACTGCTGCACTCAGACAAACAAAGTACTGTTTTACCTTTTAATGTACAGACATGCGGAGTCTCCCCTCTCTTCCTAATGGAGAGATAGTGGTCTAATGTGCCACTTGGGTCTTTTAGAGATTAATACCTTAATGAGCTGGCTACAAATGAAAAGCTCTTTTGGAAGGAGCAGCCATAAGTATACCCGGGATAATAAGCCAAAGTCACGCCACAAAGTGTACCACAGAAGAGGCTCTCATAGCTGCAGGGGGATTGGGATGATACGGTTCATTAAAGAATCACTGATTTATTCTCCTGTTCATGGCAGGCTGTGGTCATGGCAGTTCTTACATGACTGGGCCTTGTTTAGTTGGCACACAAAATACGCTCAGAAGTCTCCAGGCGAGAAGAGCAGGATCTGAACCGAGATAAAACAGAAATGACATCATGCAATCAGACTGTGCTTTCTTTGAATAGTGTAGAGCTATTCCGACATTGTCAAAAAGGCTTTTCCAACTCTTGATACAAATCTGTCATACTTTATTAAGCTGGTCACTGATGAAAAGTAACTCTGAGCTACACATTTATAGCTCAGTCTTCATATGGCTGTCTATGTAGGTAAATATCTTCATTTTTTTCAGACATACTTGTGCTTTGAAGTTGGCAGAACGCTTGCATCCTATCTCTTCAGTAAGACGTGGCAGAGTTCTAACACATCTGTGTGATGACAGAGACAGTGAGTCTGTTCTCTGCAGAGTAGGGATGTTCATTAGCTTAGTGATAAAGTGTCTCTTTGGGAAACATTGGGCGCTCACGTCCCTTTTTAACAGAGAGGTCTACCGCAGTTACACAGTGTTAAAAAAATGCAGAGACTGAAAATACTGGTAATACATGCTTCATATGCATGAAAACTAAAACCTACTCTCTAACCTTAATAAGATATAAGAATAAGAATAAGAAGAGAGTACTGCATTTACAGCAGATGCCGATTTCTAACTTATCCATCAGTGAGGCAGATGCCACCAGAAACACACACTAGGGCCAATTTGACAGAGGGAGAGCTCTTAATTTCTTAAGAACTCTCAAAAATGTCAGGACACCAAGCTACACTTCCAGGAGCTTGACAGGCGGGTGTGTGAGAACGCCATGCAACTGAAAAATGGATTCAAAGAATGTGTATAACAATAGCAGTTAGTCGCCTCAAAGCTTTGGAAACTGCAAATTACATTCTCACGACTGAGTTCAAAGCCAGGCTTGGCTTGTCTAAATCAACGATATGCCAAAAAATTGGACTGTCCATGCATAAATGGACGAGTGTTGCCCAGCTCCTTTCATCATTCCTCAGACATACAAATGGCTGTCTTATAGTCAGAGTTGTCTTATAATAGGACCAATGCTTTAGTTTGCTTTTATAGATGCAAAAAGCCAGAACACCTTTCCAAGCAGCATGATTTCGTTACTGGATATCAAATACTCCCTTTGAAAGCTAAAGGACAGTTGTACAAGCAACAGGACCCACCTGGATATGGATTTTTACTTTGAGCACAGACTAATGGGTTTTGTTCTGTAAATCTCAGACACTGGTTTTGATTGATTATCCCCTACTGTGGGCATGCTGCTGCTGTTGCTGCTGTCAGAGCTCTAAGAAAGGCTAGCACATTTTATACACATCACAACAAGGAGGGCAGAAAGGACCTGTCCAGACTGTGTGTAACTGGAAGTGGAATGGCCATTGATCGGTTTATTTGCTGTTTTGTGGTGTGAATAGCTTTTTTTTTTTTTTACCATACGGGGAACCTGTGCCTAAGATTTGCTGCTGCTAACACACTAAGCCACTCTGGCTGTTGCCATCCATTGTGCAGTTTTATGAGCATTATTTTGCACACACTTAGTATACTGGAGTAGCAGCTTGTACCACATGATGTAGCTTCTGTTTTTGTGCTAATTTATATCAACTTATAAGCATGAACTTCAAGTTCAGTACTTTCATAAAACTGAATCAAGCACATTTTACCTTAAATACAATCAATAAGACATAATTTCCAATTGAGATATTGATATTTTGATGGAGGAATACTAATGAGTCGTGGTGGCTGTTTGACCAGTACCCAAATATAGAGCTGTAGAGAGATAGAAAGATAAAGAGCTATGGAGCCTTAAATGACTCTTTGCCTCCCGCACCTGCCTCACTTGCGTAATTAGAGAAAGAGAGAGAGGAGTATGAAGAGTGCAGGAGATCAGTTTGACGCATACTTAGCACATAAAAAATATAAATGAATGATTAACACAAGAAAAGTAGATTAGATGTGTAGAAGAGATTTTGAAGATCCAAGTTAAAAAATGATGACAGCGTTGACATCTTGGTGGCCAAAGAAGGCATGTGAAAAAAATACATAGTGTCCAGTTTCTTTTTTTTTTTGTCAAAAAAAGAGAAGAAAATCTACAAAATGCTTGAAAAATAATCAAATAATAATGTTTTCAAAATAGTCGATATAACACTTAAATTATCTGACCAAAACAGTAAGATTGTTGTGGCCCTGGTAACTCAAGACAAAAAAAAAAAAAAAAAATCGTTTTCAAGGACATTTTGCTGCATTTTTATTTTGAGTATGATGGCAGAGAGAGAGAGAGAGGAGATGTGACAAGCTATGCAGGGAAACTGAAGAGGGAAGCCATCTCCTCAGGCACCTGTTCATGTATGTATGTTAATGTATGTGTGTGCATTTGTGTTGTTGTCTGAGCAAACAGTCTCAGCTAACATGATGCGTGTTCCATATAAAGAGACTGCTGAATCGGCATTCTTGCAGAAGAATCCCAGAGAGTCTCTGCTTACTCCAGCAAGGATTTTATCTCGGGGGCCTGATTTCATTTTGTTAACCTGTCCACTAGCTTCAGTGTCTCAGTTGTATCTCCTGATGGACTATTTATCAGGTACATGGAAAAAAAAAGAGTGAACCTTTTTGCCTGGCCACTGCTATTATTGTCTGCATGGATGAGTCCTGTGCTCCTCCATATCCCCCCCCCATACTGTAAGACAGTGCTTCTCACCAGACTTCTTTGTTTAGCCTCGTAGGTTGAAAAAAACAACATGATAATGAGAGATGATTAACTAGGAGCTTCTACAGGAGATCAAATGACACTCATCAAAGCCGACACAAGCCCTAACACCTCCTTGCTGTGTTTGCATATGTGTGTGTCTGTGTGTGCGTGTGTGTGTGTGTGTGTGTGTGTGTGTGTGTGTGTGTGTGTGTGTGTGCGCGTGCGTGCGTGCGTGTGCTTATTGAGCAAACTGGCTTGTTTGTCTCAGGATCTGAGGAATCTCCTGTGCTGCCACCTTTGCTGTTGCCTCAAGGAGACACAGTAGGTGAGGATTGTAGACTGTGGGAATGTGCTTTTTGACATGAATCTTTCCATCTCAAATAGGAGATGACTGAAAGAGTTACTTTGTGGCAACATTTGGAAAATAATTCAAGGCTCACTGAGCAAGACAAAAGAGAGAAAAGTTTGCAGCAATTTCAGAGGGAGATCTGTCCTTAGTTCTAACCTGCATAAAACCATGCCCATTGTCAGCAAAAATCAGCTTCAACTGTAAATTAAAAAAGAATGGAAATGGAAATCATCTTTAAGGATGGTGATTAAATGTTTTTTTTCTATTTAAGTGGTGGGAACTCAATAAATTTGTTAAAGGGAAGTAGATGTGTTCACATGAAGAGGAGGGTATGCATTACTTACAGGTCTGGCCTTGACCGTCTCCTGAGGCTTGACATCCATCTTCATCATCACAGTCTGTGGTGCTGCCCTCCTCCGTCTCCCCACTGCCCAGCTGATCCCAGGGCTCCAACTGACCCAGCTTGGGAAACCTCTCCTGGGTCTCCTGAACAACAAATACAGAAATAAGAGGTTTAGAACAAACTTTTTTTTGTAAATGATAACAACTTGACAATGCAATGCTAATGTACTGTAATCTACTGCAATGTTGTCTGCACAGTAATGTTATCTAATCTAATAACTGGACGAGTTAAAGAAGGCAAAGTGCACTAGATTCTCACTCTTGAAAGAAGAACAATAATAATATTGTTTCTTATGTCCCCTGTCGACTCTCTTGAGGAGCAGTGTGGGTGGTGTCAAGTGAAGGCCCTGGGTGGTGGGTGACGTGTTTCTTTTAATAACAACAACAACCGTATTTTAAGAGAATCATCGATTACAAGGATAGGCAAAAGCTTTCATAACTTCCATTTTCTTCAGACGAGAGGGTTCATATTATATTTGATCCGCTTTTATTTACGCTTTCATTTGTAAGAATCAACCTCAATTATTCAACACACGTTATCTTTAAGGTGTATTTTTATTGTATTTTTTTTACACTGTCAAACAACTGCTGATATGTATTGACATCTGTATATTTCCCCCGAGTGCAGGGTCAATAAATATAATATAAAACACAATATAAACACTAAGCTTTTCATTAGCTTATGAATCCTTCTACGTGAGGATTTTTTTTTCCCACTGATCAATAATAAAGATCATTTTTTTATTTACATTTCACTCTTGCATCTAACTGTGACAAACACCTGGATCTATAGAAACCACATCACATTGTAGTGTGAGCACTCTTCTGCATGAAGACTCGCACAGCCTGGAGCATGAACATCTCTCTACGATGTTCCTCCCTCTCAGCGTGGAGCCGACTAATTGGACCACCTGCTGGCCCTCCCTGCTGTCCACCATCATCAAGGTGGTCTTTGTTCCGTCACCCCATGTCTGACAAGAAGCTCTCCTGACATAACAACAAATCATCCTTTGGAGTCTAAGTGTAAGAAAGTGGCATGAATACCAGATAAGTAAAACATGTGGAGCTGTAGAGAGACACAGTTTTAAGCATCCTCTAGGATGTAATATACAAACACACACACACACACACACACACACACACACAAACTATTAAACATTCATGAGAAAGCCGACAAGATCAATCCTGGAGCACAGCTGACCTTCATACTGAGGGAACATCCACTGAAGACGCGTTGAGAGGTGAGTGAGAGTGGTGGGGGGATAGGTTCAGTGTGTTGAGGGATGACTTATATTGTTGCCATTGACACCAGGCTGTCTGTCAACCAACCTGACAGAAATATGTGACCTTCAACCAGTTGCCTCCTTGGCCATTAACAGCCCGAAAAAAAGGAGACAGGCCTATTTATACTGTTTAGAGAGTGAAGCTAAATGTAAGATGTAAGAAATGAGAAGTTATACAATAAGGAGTGAGCTTTAAAATGTAATGCACAAGCACAAAAAGAAAAAAAACATATGGATTTTGTTTAAAAATCTCAAACAGGCTAGGCATGCACTCAGGGTTTGAAAATAACTTTTTTTTTAGGGCTTTCCTTGAAGAAAACTCATGAAAAACTCCTGAATTTTTTAATTCTGACTTCACCCGGAGTTTCTCCTGCCAGACCCCTAGTAGTCTTGACGCTCCAAGTGAGCTGATGTGAGAACGCAGCAGGATATTCTCCGGAGAATTAACCTGAAGCCAACGGGACGTAATCAAAAGGCTGCATTACAGTACGTTTTCTGTTCGTCAGTATGTTCTTCTTCACTCTTTTGTTGATAGTGTGTTGTTGATAGAACTATGCTAAGCCCTGATATCACGGCAAATATTCTCATTATAGCATCGTATAGTGGACTCTGTTGCTTCATCCGTGTCTTTTTCTTTTTTTTTAACGTCATGTCGGCCTGATGAGTCTGCGATCTGTTCACATGATTTAGGACTGGATCTGTAAAGCCCTCATGCTAACCTTACAGAACATCAGGAACAAACAGGGCAGGAATAATTTTCTACTATGTTGGGAGGGGGGAATCAGTACTGAGTCTTGCCTTAGATCCTACAGAGTTTGTTTACTTAGGCATATCTGTGCTTTGAGCTACATGTTACCACCTGTATGTTAACAGATGCTAAGTTGCATTATGTCAGACAAATCATAACTGTGACCTCATGATGTATTTACTGAAGGTTAGGGTAAAGTAATAAGACATTATCTACTGGGAATAAACAGTATTTGTACAAACGTTGGATTCAATAAATTGTTATTTTGTCGATAACTTAGTCTAGACCTTTTCTTCTTCTGGAAGAGAATGAAATAAAAGACCAGCTACTTAGACAGCCAAGGCCTTCAAGTAGAAATAATGAGACAAAGAATGAAGAGGCACTAAAGTTAGCCAATGCTGATAAATGCTTGTCTGTCATTTATAATTCTGCAGCAGCTCAACTGGTGTCACAGTTGGTTTTCTATCTGCCTTCCCTTCCAGAAAAGTGACTTCTGATGTTTGCTAATGAGAGAGGAGGAGGAGACTGAACGTGATCCTGACACCAGTGGGTACTATTCTTATTGTAAGCCATTACATCTATCATGTGTCCCATTCCTATTTAATGTGAAGTGGCCCCTTCTGAGTCAGGCCTGAGAGAAGTGCTACAGTCAAATAATTCATGTAAAAGCATTATAGAGGGCAGAGGCTTCATGAAACTCAAGAGGGCTCTTGAGGTTCAACATACCTGGACAGCTCAGTTTTCAAAGATGGACTAACAGAAACAAAAGAATTGCTTAGAAAGATGTAAACAATATACACACTAGGCCAGGGGATCTTTGGGTGTCTAACGATTCAAAGTTGATTCTTTGGATCACATTTTGATTGAGAATCGAATTTTGATTCAAAACAATTCTGTACTCATGATTCAAAGTCTATTTTTTAATTGGTACATACTTTAGGATCTACTCCAGTCATCTGTGAAACTAACTGAATGTCTTGCTGCTCCATTTGGAGTTTAATACTCTTAGCCTTAGCACTTAGCAGGGAGTGACTGACTAGCCAAAAAAATAAAATATTTTGAAAATCAGTTTTTGGAAGTTATGAATCTATTTAAAATCTTAGAAGATAAGAATTTAGATTTTTACATACATCTTTTTTCCCCCACCTCTAAAACACACTGGTTAGTTGTGCATTTCATCATTATGGATTGGCTCATATGACAACATGTGACCAGTCCCTTTATATTTCCTGTACTTGTTTTGCCTGTTTTGAGGCTGATACATGATACACTGTGTTAGGTATAGAAATTCGGGTCAGGGGACTTGTTCATATGAGACATTTGAGACAAAAATACAATAACTGAATGACTTGTGTGCAAAGATGGAAGCCACAAATTTAGTATGTATCCAATGGATCAATACAGTTAAGCACAAGGCTGCAGGGAAAAGATAAGTGATTATGGAGGATTGAAAGTAAGAGAGAGAAAACTCTGTTTGGACAGCTACCATGATAAACCCATTAACCTTGTTTTTAAATTTGTAAAACTACAAGATAAATCCAGTGCACACTCCACCAGTTTATGTAGAAATGCTGTGTTAAACAAGAAAGTGTTGTAACCCAACACCATCCAGATAACCATTGGAGTATTAAGCTAATAACCATGCCGTTCAGGGGACGTTTAACACAATGCTGCCTGGCCCAGCTGTCCTTAAAGCATGTTAATTAGGGAAGGAATCAATTAAGGCGCTGTCGCTGTGGAAACCACAGTTGGGCCGTTGTAGAATTGTGCTGTTGGCCGCTGTCCAGGGCAGTTTGTTGGTTTGTTTTGACTCTGTCAGAGCTGCTAGAGTGCCAGAAAATTTCTGCTAAGTCTGTTTAAATGTTAATTCTACTTGGTAAATTCAAAAGTAACACAGGGAACGTAATTGTGGTATTCAAACAACATAGTCAAGAAAGCCATTTTGAGTTTGCCATTGGTGCTAAAAAAAGAGAGATAAATATTCCAGTATGGGTCCTAAAAGAATGTTGAATGCTCAGTATGCATTGGAAAGTCCCTCTCTCTTTCTTTATCTGCTTTCTGACAGAGAAATGCTGCTGCATTGAGGTCCAGCTCTGAGTTTCAATGAGTGTCGTAAGCAGTTTGTTAAATGTTTTTTTCGTCTTCATTTTCTTTTCTTTTATAGAGTAAAAGTAAAGCAGAGACCACAGGCAATATATGCTCGGCTGATGAAGTTAATGTCAAATACTAATCATAAACTGCAGAAAAAGAAGATTTTCTGGCACAAACTTCACCAATTGACAAGGTGCATGAAGAGTGAAAGGCTTAGAAGAGGTCAAAATGCTCTAGCAACACTTGTAGTATGAAGATTTTTTTCAAGGCCACGAGCCGAAACGTGTCGGTCTAAATTGTTAATAAAGTTGATCTTCTTACTAAAAGTGTTGCTGAAGCATTTTGACCTCTTCAAATATTAATCATAAAGCAGCTGAAGTGAATGGATAAGGACCCAAAGATGAATAAGGTGGTTTATTTATGTCATCAAAAACAACAGCCTTTCAAATCTCATCTTCTGGTGCTTTTAACTCAGCAGGAACAATGTCTTTATTTTCTCATGATTCGGTCTCTCTGACATTTAAAACCAGGCTGTTTGATGTATTTGAGCTTTGCTGTGCCATGCAGCCTTTTTATACTGAGAATATGCTTTAAAATCAAACATTTGAGCTGCTGCGAAGGTCAACATGTTCAGTCATGCATCATATTTTTCAAAATCAGGTCTTGATAAAAACTCAAGATGAGAGGTTACCTAATGTAATTAAATTGCACTTTAGATATGATGCAAATAAGCAAACAGGTGAACTTGAATTTACCTTCTTCAAACAAAGTTTTAATTGTGCTTCAGGGTCATCGCTGATGCAGCATTTAAGGATATGGCAGCTGAGAATATTGAGGGCACTATTAACTGAGATATGGGTGAATAAATATCTTTCACATATCTTCAAAAGGATTGCCAGATTCAAAGCAAAGCACTCTCTTTTCAGCGCTGAGGATAAGACCACATCTGAAAGCTTCACTGA